AACCTGACGAATGGTGAATATGTGGTCGATGCAGCCACGACCAGGTCTAAAGCCAGCTTGGTTCTCTCGTGTTTGTAGTTCACGAGTCTTAGTTAGGCGTTTGATAATTATCGAGGCCAGTATTTTAGATACTATGTTTGTTAAACTAATCCCTCTGTGGTTGTCACAGGATGATTTTGACCCTTTCTTATATATTGGGACGATAAGTGATTGCGACCAGTCAGATGGGATAACGTCTAATTCCCAGATCTTAGCTAAAATATTAGTCAACCTAATCGCTAAAATTGGACCACCATCCTTAAAGACCTCTGGAGCCAATCCATCTGGACCAGCTGCCCTTCCTCGTTTCAGATTAACTATAGCCTTCTCAACTTCAGCAAGAGTTGGGGGACCTACTTCAATGTTCCATTCACACTGTCTGGGAATGGAGGGTAGTTGTAGAGTAGCTGAAGGCCAGCTGAACTGTTCTCTAAAATGTTCCGCCCATCGTTCTAAACGTCTGGACTGGGAGCAGATGAGAGTATCATCTTTTTCCGAAATAATCTCACTTACACTTGACTTATTAATTCCAGTTTCTTTTATTAGTCTGTAAAGCTGTCTTGTGTTCCCTATAGTCGCCGCCTTTTCCATCTCTTTTGCTTTCGTTACCCACCACTGCTCACGGTCGTTCCTTAGACTTTTTCTTAACCTAGATCTGATTTGTTTACGCTCTTCATCATGTTCAGAACCTGATGGGACGAGTTTGCGAGAATCCATCAGTGTGACAGACCTTGAAGAAATCCACTGGTTCCTTGTAACTCTGTGGTTTAAGTCACTAATAGATGTCACTGCTGTTTCCACAGCTGCTTGTATGCCCTTCCAAGCAACATCTGGGTCAGCCTCGTCTTCACAACTACCTAAGTGTGACCTCAGTTGTTCCTGGAACCTACTTTTGGTTTTCTCGTTACTCAACTCAGTTCTAATGGGTCTTTTTAATGTGGCTTTTTTGCGTCCAGTGAGGCGCAAGCAGATGCGTGCCCGTATTAGGGCATGGTCGGAGTCCAAGCAGGTACTCCAGAATGAGCGACAATCTTCTACCGACCCTCTCCAACGATGACTGATGGCAATATGGTCTATTTGAGTCCATCGTTGGTTTGGTGTAGGGGGTCGCCATGTTAGACGATGTCTCTCCTTATGCTTAAAATTTGTGTTTGCTAAAAATAAACGATTGTCTGAGCATAGCTGCAGCAGACGATCACCATTATCTGTTCGCTGTGTCGGAATACTAAAATATCCACCTAAATGCCTTTCTGTTTGGTTTAAACTGCCTATCTGAGCATTAAAATCACCTGCTACGAGTACTATGTCTGAGCGTTTAGCTTTCTGAAGAAGTTCGGACAGCTTTCTGTAAAATTCATCTTTCACTTCATCTGAGCTGCAGTCAGTGGGAGCGTAGGCAGAAACGACAAAAAGGCAACGACGTGTGTCCCTATCCTTCCGAGTTCTTACGTAGCCGTTCAGCCGAACAGCACATAGACGACTGTTGACGGGGATCCACTCTAGCAGTGCTTGTTCGGCCCTCATGCTTAGTGCTATGCCTACACCTGCCAGTCCACGAGAACTTGCCATCGGGTCACCAGACACACGAAGGGTGTATCTCGTTGGCTCTCCGTTTTGCCGAGGTGAGGTCAAGTGAATGACCACACTGGAATCCTGTATGCGTGTTTCGGAGACACAGCATACATCAATGGAAAGAGACTCTAGGGTTTTAGCCAAGGAAGCCTGCTGACCGATTTGACATAGGGTGCGTACGTTGAAGGCTCCAATGTGTAGTTTGGAGCGAGGTTTCAGTAGACCTGGGACAGTGTTTTGCGCACTAGAATCGTTGGCTACGGTGACACTTGAGGTGGAAGCCGAGAGAGGAAATATAGAGTTGAAAGTCGATGTAGGAGGAATAATAGGAATTGAAGAGGAGGTTGATTATGAATACAGTGGTCTTGAGTGCTGTTAGAAGTATGAGGGCGGTTATCACTTCCCGGTTGCCCACACCGTGGAAGGGTTGTTCTGGAGGTACCTGAAAAGGAAATTGGATTAGAGGTGGTCTTAGTGACCTGAGAGCGTGACCGCAGTGCCCAAGGGACAACTGCTTGAGGTCGGTCACACACGACCTTGTTATGGGTAATTTTTGTGTTAGCTCCGTACTTATTGAGACCTTACCGCCGGAGACGGATATCCGTGGGATAAGGCGAGGTGTGCATTTTTAGGGTCGACCTTTTCTAACCCCACCCCTCCTTGTGGGAAGGCAGCATCGCTGTCATGCTGGTTGTCTGAAGGAAACACCTTACTGCTGTCACACCTCTGTACAGTCAGCAGTACGACTTCGCCTTCGGACCTTGGGTTTGTTGCTTTTAGTCTTACCGCTCTTCAACCGACCTGTCTGACATGGTAGGACCTTGAGGAACGGTTGTTCCAGCCAGTATAGCTCGGTTGCTTCATCACGATAGGCAAGCCCGACCACCACGTCAAGGTAGCAACAACGGTCGGGAGTTATAACCTAAGTTGAACACAAACTTTTAACTCACACTCTATCTTTATTAATACATTATAAAGTTAATTCATCAAATGATTTCTGCAAAATATTGACAGTTTATTCATTCTTTTGACGTTATTCGTAACATATGCCTTTATATAAAAATTACTGTCATCTTTTGCTTATAAACACGATACAATTTTTTGATAAGAAGTTATAAACAAGTGGGTATATTTCCCATTCACTACCACTTTTTAAAATGAGACATTACTCAATTCACCTATTATTATCAAGTTAGATCTTGGCAATGATATTAATGACATTTTTTTCTTGTTGTTCGAAATAAACAATAATGGATGACCGCCTCATTTTGTATTTATCAGTTCGACTGCTCCTGAGGAGCAAGTTATATTGGTCGAAATTCTAGAAATTTACATTTTCGTAATCGTGAACACCTTCCAGCGTGGCTAAACAAAGGTTTGATGAGGAAAGTTTACAGCTCAATATTGGCCCATTTAATACAAACTGGTCATAGTGCCAGTATAAACTAATCTTTTTAAATTACTTATAAGGTCAATAACGTTTTACCAAAACTTGTCAGACTTAAAATCCTTCAAACGGCTGAAGCAGCAGCCATCCGGATGAAGAAGCCGGAACTATGCGTACGGAAGAAATATCTTCAACCACTCCCCTTCTCATGGCTAACATCAAGGTCAATTAATCAATAGTAATCTTAGCTATTGAATGACCTAATTTAACTACGAACTTTCGTAGTCAATCGTAATTGTCTCTCGTATCTTTATTCACAAATCTTTGTATTATTATTATTATTATTCGTATTATTGTTTAAACATCATTATTAATCTCCCTTATTCATGATTCATTCACCTCGCACCTATCCCTCCTTATTACGTCTTACTAATTTTTCACACAATATAGCCTTCCACTAAACATTTGACCGAATTGTAATTGCACTAATATTTCTCTCATCCCATCTGTCCGATATTTATTCTGATCATTGATCTTAAATTTTTACTTAACGTATAAGATGATTCAAGTTAACATTCTATCTGAGTCATATCAACATTAACAATTTTATTGCATTTTATTTAACAATCCTAAATTCACATACTTTAAACCATGTACTTTGCCCTTAACCTGACCATTTTTCAGATTATTAATTTGGATATATAATTGTAGAACCTGAAGAGAATTTATCGAAAAGACTATTATTTGTCCAAATATTAGTCTTTTATGATGATGGTGATCTTTAAGCGAATAATGGATTATAAAACTAATTAGAAGTAAATTAAATACTTCATAGATTTAGTGATTGCTCCGATTACTAATAAACATGGTAAGCGATGGTTGATAAATTTCTCATGAAGTAACATTAGATTGTTTTAGTTTTGGATAAATAATTATCTCATTATTGTAATGGATGTATTTTAGATTTTTTGAACTGAAGATTATTGTCTTGGATTATTATAAGAACTCACAATATCATCATTCTAATGTTTTTTAGATTAAAATTTCAGTCTGAAATCATTTATCATATTGCTAAGTTGATTGCAGAACATATACTACTTAGAGTCACTTTTTACATATAATCAAGTAGTTATTGATAAGTTAAGAAATTGTTTGCCTAAATAAACAAATATATATTACTTTGTCAGAAGACCAATGAATCAGTATTAGCAGTATACACTGAGGACAAGTTTATCTCTGTATATGGGTTGTTAGATCACTGATTTCAATAAAATCTCTTCTGATCCAAAACTGACTGTAATTAAACATGTTAACCATCAGATTAGAAATCAGTGGTTAAAGGTATCACAATCATGACTTGATCTGAAACTCCTGAGTTTGATCCTTCATGTATTGCTGAATGAATTTACACTAAGATATCCAGTTTCACAGTAATTCAGCACCGAGTTCATGTATGATATTAAGGACGAAGAATGTATTTATAGAATCACAGAGAATGAAATTGAAGTAAATCCGTTTCACCTGGTCATCTGGCATTTCCTTGAAAAAGCTTAGACTAGATTACCGGGTGAAACGTTGGATTTACTTCAAATTCATTCTCTGAGATTTTACAAAGACATTCTTCTCCTCTAATATCTAAGACATCCAGTGCTGCATAGTCTTCCCAGATGTGACGTCTCAGCTAACTAAGAACAGACTTATGAAGTTTAGTATTGCAATTTGACAATAAAGTAGAGAATCTAACAATGCTACTAATCCCTTTCATCGTATTTATAAGTATGATTTCTTCAGATGTATACTATTTTTACATAAATAAAGCTACATGTTTTAAATTTTCTTATGACCTGTTTGTATAGCTTAACGCTACGAAGTATTCATTTTTCGTTAAGCTTTAAATTTGTATCATCAAGAGATCACTCACTTGTACATTTTATGAAAGTATTCTCAAATTGTGGATATAAAACACATTTCACACATCAACTTCAATTAAGTCTATTCTAATTCATCTGTGTACGTGTGTAAATTTTATCATCATCATCATCATCATCATCATCATCATCATCATCATCATCATCATCATCATCATCATCATCATCATCATCATCATCATCATCATCATCATCATCATCATCATCATCATCATCATCATCATCATCATCATCATCATCATCATCATCATCATCATCATCATCATCATCATCATCATCATCATCATCATCATCATCATCATCATCATCATCATCATCATCATCATCATCATCATCATCATCATCATCATCATCATCATCATCATCATCATCATCATCATCATCATCATCATCATCATCATCATCATCATCATCATCATCATCATCATCATCATCATCATCATCATCATCATCATCATCATCATCATCATCATCATCATCATCATCATCATCATCATCATCATCATCATCATCATCATCATCATCATCATCATCATCATCATCATCATCATCATCATCATCATCATCATCATCATCATCATCATCATCATCATCATCATCATCATCATCATCATCATCATCATCATCATCATCATCATCATCATCATCATCATCATCATCATCATCATCATCATCATCATCATCATCATCATCATCATCATCATCATCAACTAAGATAATTGGAAATTTCATTCCACCAGCAACTTGTTGAAGATATCTTGTAATTAGATAACTTTAAACAATTCTTAAACATTTAATCATCTTATTTTTACGTGTAAAATATTTTATACAACAGTTTATTACTTACTTTAAACAATTTACAATCAAATAGTTCTCTCTCTTTCAGTTTCTTTCAGTTTAGTTTTGACCATTGGTTAAATGTATTATGATTATGTATAACTCCTATTCATAAATTCATTACTAAATCTAATGTTATATGTTATTATATAGTTAATTTAGTCAGGCATTTCCAAATTTTAAAGCAATATTTACGGATGATATAATGTCGGTAATGTAAGTTTGGTTGTATTTGTTTTTTAAAGTAACAAATATAGTAAATTTCTCAATCTGTGGGTCTAATTTTAAGTTTACTGATTACTTAGTAACAGATAACTGAAATGAATTAATGATAATTACAAAATTTATAACTAGAAACAATGTTAAATTCATTTAGTGTTATTTTACCTGCATCTTCCCATTGTTATTCAGGACTCCATTCGATCAGTCTCATGTTGGCATATGTACATCCTGTGCGAATTGACTCGATATAATTTTAAGTCAAAAGCTTTTTAAGCAAAGATGGATAATGGCTAGCAGTGGAATCCAGGACTCTCGTTTTCGTCCTATTTGGGACTCGTCAGCTGGATGTACCTGCATCCCAGAGTTGATGCTCACTCAGTGACTCGAACGCAGTACCTTTCGCTTCAGAAACAATGTTTATAAAATGTAGGTTTAAAGTGAATCTTACTTAAGTATTCAAAAGTCTAAAAACAAAATATTCATGTTATTGTTCGAATAAATGGAGTAATCTACTTACCTCAATGAATGACATATAAGATACTGAAATACTACTTAAATCAAGCAACAACAACAAAAACTGTGACTGTTGCCAGTGTTACTTTATTTAGTTTCGATTAGATGAGTTATCGTTATAGATCATTTAGTAGACTAACACAATGATAATTTTCATCCTGAAAAAAAGAAACATTATATTATGTATGAACCATTTGTGAGAATTTCTTAAAGATTCATTAATTTGATAGAACTCTTTTGGTAATCATTTTAATATTGAGAATATTTATTGATTTTAGGCGCTTAGAGATTACTTTTTTTAAGCACTTGTAGATGTAATTTACATCTTGAAACGCAACTTTAGTTTCTAAACTTTCACTAACTTTAACTTCTGTATTAAGTCATGTATTAAACATTAGCTGATTACATGTGAAAAGGAAAAAGATTTCCCTGAAATTTAGTTTGTGTTCAGAAAGCTTATATTAAGAAAAAAGCCATTTAAGTTAAGATAGTAGTTATGATACGTATTCATGAAAATTTATTTCATTCTTATAGTTATAAATATGCCTTGTTGTTGTTATCATGGTAGATTTAGTCCTCAATTTGTCAAGGTAACAAGATTTGTGAACTTTATTTTAACTGGATTATGGTTATGTCGACAGGTATTGTTATCAGTTAGTGAATGATCAGAAACTAAAAATCACCGAATGGTAATGGACTAGTTTTTAGTTTTTGAGAATGATTGTTTTGTCATTTAGTTGACCGATTAATATTGTAAATATGGACCATGAAATCTAAATACAGTAATCTTATCAGGAAATCTGGAGATCCTAGTTTTGAATGATTATAATTAAGTGATCATTAGAAGTGGACAATTTTTAAAATGTGTAGATCAGGATAAACCAACAATAATAATTACAGCAGATTTGTACGAAGTTAGGCATTATCAACGTTGGATGCCAGCTCAGTGGTCTAGAGATTAGGCGTTGGAGCATGAGACTGAAGGTCCTGGGTTCAACTCCCGAGTTCAGGACCATGGATGAGCGTTGCCGAGGAGTCCCGTACTAGGACGAAACAGCTTTTTAGTGCTTCACGTTTTCGATGATGGTCTAAAATTGATCACTTTATGATTTCAACGAGATTTGTAAGGAATCACTTATTTCGCTGAATCTTTGATGCTTCTTACATACTAGAAACGATATTAATAACTACATGAGACCACTGTACATCCTTTATTTCATATTATTACCAAGGTTTCGTCAATGAAGATGAAAAAGCACTGAACTTGAGTTTTTGAGAAATGTTCATGTAATTCAATAGATACTAATATATTCAATGATCTGAATATTCTAGAACAGGAATTTAATACCACATACAAATCAAAATGGTGAGTGTTGCAGTAAAACAATCATTGTTTTATGGAGCTATTACGTTCAATCAGATATAATAAGTTTTTATCTCACTCCAAGTTAATATTCAAACACTCGAATTGGATAATAAACACGGTAGTTATATCAATAACTCTTATGAAAAATGTCTTCAAACAAAATGATATGACTGTCCTTGTTCCTGATGGTGTCGGAAAGGTTGATGAAATGTTAGTTGAAATGATTAATAAAAGTATAACAGAGGAAAGATGAACAAAACTGAGTGGGTAAGTAATTCGTTTATTTGACCATTCTTACAGCTGCACATACTTTTGCAATAAAGACTAAAATATATTCAAAAGTATGTGTACATTTTACTAGATATTTATCGAAGGGAGGAGAATTGATAGGTATATTTGAAATGATCATTAATGATGTAAATACAAATTATACTTTATATATTACATTGTTTTCCATTAGTAATCTTCCGTACAGATTTCGTGTTTTCTGATTGACTAACAACAGTTGAAAACAACTCTGGATCATTGTACTCCACAGGAGCAGTTGAACAGTACAATTTGACAAGTTCGTCATCTTATTATAGAGCATCATCCATCGTGGTTAAGCAAAGGACAGGTGAAAGTGATTAAAAGTTCTATTCCCTCTCACTTGGTTGATACAGGTCATCAAGTTGAATTAAATAAAGCTTTTAAGGTTATCTACCATATACCATCAAATTTGCAACATGCTTTACGAGTGAGCCTTTTGCACATTGCGGAAGCCATCGGAATCCATGTTCACAAACTTAACCTTTGCTCTCAAAAGAGATTTGTACAATCACTTTCACTGCCTTGGCCATCGGTATAAGATTTTCTACAACAGAACTATTTTTCATACTTCTTCCACTTGAGTCTTTTTTCCATTAAAAAACGTAGTTTCTTTTATTTTTAAACTTTATAACTTCTCAACATCCGTCTCTTGATTCTTTCCGTAACTACTATTCTATTGACCATCCATTAAAAAATTATGTTCCTTCTCTCTTTTTCATATATGACGCAACGTAGCAACTTCTTGATTTAAAGATTTATTATTTATAACACTTTTTAACATGTAGATGTAAACAAATCGATTTAATGAAATAAATTAAATACATACTGTTGATAAACAAGTTTATGAAAAATGAATAATTGTGCTTTTTCTTTCGAAATAGTAATCAAATTTTAATGATAAATTAAGCATTAAGTTATAAATTACTGAACAAATGTTAATATAATATTTAGTTTTATTTTAATTCTAGGTAATGTTTTCTCATCAGTATAGGGTTGTGAAGATTGTTGAGTTTATATTGATATAATAAATGGATCAAAGTTTGACCACCATTGAAAACCTGGAAGCACTGGACGGCCGTTTCGTCTTAGTATGGGAATCCGCATAAGTGCTCATCCACGATCCCACACGCTCAACTCGAACTAAGAATCTTCAACCTCGCACGTGATTGCTTAACCTTTAATGATCAGTTTCAAAATGGATTTCCTGGAGTTCTAGTGAAAGCCGTGAATGATGGAAATCAAATATATCTGTTGTGAGGCTGTTACTCACTGAAGACAATGTTAGACAGTGGCGCGATATAGTGGACTGGTTGGTATTAGATATTTGAAAGCGACTAGTTAGATAATAGGACGCAGGTCTCCAGACAAAACAAATTATTGAAAATGATCAAATATAATATCTGTAGTGATTTCAGTTGATATTGTAGCAAGATTGCAATGCTTGTATGGAATTTTGGAAAAGTATATACTGATAATTACGAAAATTTACTACAATACACGTTGTAAGATAGATTAATATTTCGATAGAACAATAAGAAGATGGAGTTGATCTGAAAAATGTGATGTATTTGCGCTATACATTTCGAACAATCTGGAAATGTATAGCGCAAATACATCACATTTTTCAGATCAACTCCGTCTTCTTATTGTTCTATCGAAATTTATAAAAGGGACTAATTGCTTTAGATTAATATTTATCTAATTTTTTTGGCACTAACACAGTTACTTGCAATTTTGTAATGCAACGTTACTGTAAACGCATATCTTTACTTGTTACTGTAGAGTGTTTTGTTGAGTATAATAATATATTTGATGGGAGTATGTGTGGTAATTGTGGGAGCTAATGATCCATTTGTATATGATTTCCATCTGATTATGAATTCCGAATATAATACGTTCATCTGCGCTCATATACTTCTACCTGTGATGAATTGCAATTTTTTGGGAATCTTTAATTAGTCCATTAATTTGAATACTTCTAATTATCATAGTATGATTATGAGAGAACATTCAGTAACTCAGGAAATAGTGTTTAATGCTATATATTTTATTGATTTTTCTTCCTTATGTGTTACCATAGGAAAATATAGTTGGTATAAATATATTTCAGAAATGAGGCAATCAAAATCAAGAACGCAACTGTTGGGCTTTTGCGCAATGCAAAAATATGTATCGCAAGCAGTAAACTTACTTTCGTATACTGTTCGACACAATTGAAATTATTATTTGTAATCGTGGAGTAAAACTTCTGGTGCAAAATGTACCTAATTTCTAATTCTGTTTTTCTAGTTTAAATATAACAGGCATATAGACGGCACTCACAAATCCTAACGTTTTCACCTAACAAGAATAACCTAGTAGTATATCATTGTTTTTTCGATCTACAGGCAGAGTAACTTGTGGAAAACACTAATAGATTTTCTAAGTTTGTACTTTTATTGTTTTCTTTTTCATAAACTA